GAACCCCCACCCTGATCTGGGACACCCTTCAGGGCAAACCAGCTGGTCCTACCCATGCACCAGGCCTCTATCCCGTCTAATAAAAGAGTAATATGCAGATTGACCATCACTCCAACACACAATATGCTGTCCCCATGTGGTCAAAGATTCTGCCACCAGGTGGACACAAGATGGCCAGCAGGAGAAGGCAGTTGGGAAGGACCAGGCCTGCAAGGGGAGGCAGTTAAAGGCAATCAACTCTGCAGGGGAGAGCAGTTAGGGACAACCAGGCTGGCAGAGGAGGGAAGTTGGGGGCAAACGGGCTGGCAGGGGAGCAGTTAGACATCAATCAGGCTGGCATGGGAGTGGTTAGGAAGTGATCAGGCTGGTAGGCAGAAGAGGTTAGGGGCAATCAGGAAGGCAGGCAGCCGAGCAGTTGGGAGCCAGTAGGCCTGGATTGTGAGAGGGATGTCCGACTGCCCTCAAGGGGTCCCAGATTGGAGAGGGTGCAGGCTGGCCTGAGGGACAAACCCTCACCTGTCCCCGTGCACAAATTTTGTGCACTGAGCCCTAGTAATAAGTAATAACACACAAACTATTTCATGTACTCACAACTGTAACCCTACTCTTGTCCACCCTGTGTCTGTACATTGACTGAACTATACATTCCTTGAGGAAAGTTTTACTCCTTTTCATACTTCTGGTACTTAACAGAGCACCTCAACAAAAAGACTAATTTTTGAATACACAGAATTATCTACTATTTTTAAAAAGTCCTGAAAAACAACAACAACCACCCTCAGGTAGTTTTCACAAAGTAGAACCCTTCCTTGCTTCCTAACAGTTGAGCTGCGAGTAACTTTCTCACAGTTGGAATAGACCACAAGGTCACCCGGTTCCATCTGGGAGTGGGACGCCCACTTGTTTCTTTGTTGGTGTTACACTCAGACTCCGAAGTCGGCCAGACCTCGGTTCAGGCTGCCCACACTGCCAGCATCGTTCCAGATAACTGGCCTTGGTTCTGCTGACTGGGAAGGCCCACTTTCAAATCAGGCAGGGCCCCAGTTCAGATGGGACCTTTTCTTAATCTTTTTATCTTTTTGCAGGGAGGGGCAGCTATGAAACCCTTTGAAATTAAAGGGGATTCACGTGAATCCAGAGTCAATGTCAATGGACACCTAATAAGATTTTAAAACTATTTTGCAAAACAAATAGTTCCCCTTATCAAATATTTTCTACTGGGAATTGCCGGAAACCAATCATTGTCTCACTAATAGAAAGAGGCTGGTCAACCTTGAAGCTCTGAAAGGTCAGAGCCAACCACACCCTATCTAATTGAGACAATAGTAACTGAGGCAACTTCCCCATCTTGTAATCATATAAATCCTTACTGATATGATAATCCACTTATTACCTGCCTAAGGGCTATGGGTGTTTCCCAAAGCTGCTTAAGGGTAATGGGTGCATCCCCATAGCAGCCTCAATAAAAGGGATAGCAAGGCCAGAGCCAAGAGAGTCTTCCCACTAGAGGTTGACTCCCGCCTGGCCCCCCATTTGTCCCAAGTTAACTCTTTTCTAGTCTCTCTCTTCATTTTAGTGTGCGGCCTCCTCCAGAAACCGGACCCTGAGTGCGCCCTAATCACGCGGGTCGTGTTAAGGGTTCCCACAGGGAATGATTTGATTTGAGTAAGGTCTGGCTTCAAGTGGCTTAACTAATGAGATGAGAGGTTTTTGATGCTAGTTATGAACCAAATACATTGTTTACTCAGCAGCATCATGTTCAAGGCTGTTCTTTTCGTTCTGCTGCTGGGACATCTGGGAAGAGCTTGTATTCCCATTGAAGGTAAGCACAATTAAGGTGGAAAGAAAACTATTCTGGAAGTTTGTATAATGGCAGTACTTATTGCAAAGAAAACTGCACAATATGATTTTATTTCTACTGACAGCTATTAAAATCTATACTGGAAGCTCAATGTCTAAAAGGTTAACTAGGCAGGGGCTATATTACAGATCTAAAGGCAACAATGCATGTTGGATTATGGGAGACAGAGCCTCAGCTCACCTGCATCTGCAGTGCAGACAGTGCCCTGACCACTTCCAGAAGTTTCTGACTGATGATGTCTGCAGCTACGACAGCACACAGTATCCCAAGCACTGTCCTGGCAAAACCAGTTTGAAAACTTTTATCTCACAAGGCAGGTGTCTGTTTTGTAAGAATCTTGCAAAGCCAGGAAGAACTATACCCTGTGGAACTTCTACATCAGAGGTGGAATATCACAAGAATATCAACTAATGTTTTATCAAGCTTTTATTGATGCAAAGTAGTGATGCCTCTGCTAAATATCACTTTATCCACTTTATAATCCGGTGGACCAAGCTTTGGAGAATGTAAATGACCTCCTGATATCACCTAACCAGAGGTGAGAAAACAGCCATGTGATTCCATATTCTGACACCACACTGACACCAACTTACTTTTCTTAACCGAATGCATGTAGCTGTTGTATAGCTAATTCACATACTATGGGAAGCATCAGTGTGACTAATACAGAGTGTGAATAAAAGAAAAGTTTTCTTAAACTTTAGAATATGTTTCTGTCCCTTTCTTTGGAGATGAATGTTGCTGACATTCTGATCATTCTTGTTCCCCAAACCCAGGATAGGTAATGAGCACCCAGATTCTGGAGCAAACCTCACGTCCCTTTCCCTTTGGATGATTTACGGATTTGGAATTTCCAGACCACGAAATGAGATGAATGTACTTATGAGGATAAAAGAATAGATTTGAAATCAGGATTGTCTAAATACCTGGTTACTATTTTTGTAACTTAGGGGGTAAACAGGGAAGGTGGTGATGAAAATGTCATAGAAAAGTGAAAGGCAAGTATGTGGAATGAGTCTGTATCATTCGTGGATTCTCAAGACCAGGCAGGTGGTGCTTCTGGGAGAACCCATTTTGCTAGTCCTCTGTCGCCGTGGTCAGATGCTTGGAAGTAAAACGGCTGCTGAACAAATCAATTTGCAAGGGTGCTTTAGAGCTGAAATGTTATTGTCTAAGTTTCTGCAAGAATTGCTCTTTGTGATCAACTGAAGATTGGAAAGGAAAGACACATATTAAACACTCTGACAAATATTTTCCTACTTAGAGGGTATGTAAATCAGTAAACCACCTGCAATGTGTAATAGCAGGAAAATCCAGCAGTTAAAATTCTCCTATACAATATGGGGCTATGATTTTCATGAAATAAAAATAATATTAACTAAAAAGTAAAGAGTATGTATTTTTAGAAAATTTATGTGTAATTTTGAAAAGGAAATGTAAAGATTCAATATACTGAATACCAAAGCAAAGTCCAAACCATCCTAACACAAATACTGATGACTTTTTTTATGTTGGTTCTACCAATTTATGAACATGGTATATTCTTCCACTTGGTTATATCTTCCTCTATCTCTTTTTTCAACACCCTGTAGTTTTCTGTGTACAGGTATTTTACCTCCTTAGTTAAGTTTATTCCTAAGTATCTTAATTTTTTTTGTTGTTGCAATGGTTTTTTTTTTTTTTTTTTCCAGTTTCTCTGTGAGTTCATTATTGGTGTATAAAAATGCCATATATTTCTGGATGTTAATTTTGTATCCTGCTACATTGCCAAATTCACTTATTAAACTAGTAATTTTTTTGGTGGGGTCTTTATGGTTTTTATGTATAATATCATGTCATCTGTGAATAATGAGTTTTACTTCTTCTTTTCCAATTTGGATACCTTTTATTTCTTCTCTGATTGTTATGGCTAGCACTTCTAATATAAGATGACCAGACATCCTGCTTTTGGTGGGACAGTCCCGATTTTTAACAATTTGTCCCGTGTCCCGCGGCATTTTAAAAAAGTAAACATCACCTTATTCTAATACTATGTCAAACAGGACTGGTGAAAGTGGGCATCCTTGTTTTGTTCTTGTTCTTAGGGGAAATGACTTTAGTTTTTGCCCATAGAGTATGATATTGGCTATAGGTTTTTCATATAAGGCTTTTATTATGTTAAAGTATGATCCCTTTATTCCAACTTGGCTGAGAGTTTTTATCAAAAAAGAGTGTTGGATTTTGTCAAATGCTTTTTCTGTGCCAATTGATATGATTATGTGGTTTTTCTTTCAATTTGTTTATGATGTATCACATTTATGATTTGTTGATACTGTACCAGCCTTAAATAAATCCCACATGGCCATGGTGTATAATCTTTTTAATGTATTGCTGGATTTGATTTGCTAATATTTTGTTGAGGATTCGAGCATCTATGTTCATCAGGATATCATACTGCTATACCGGTGATCTTCTGTTTTTGTAGTACTTATCTCATTTTGGGATTAGGGTGATGCTGGCTTGATAGAGCTTGGAGGAGTGCCTTCCTCTTGAGTTTTTTGGAGCAGTCTGAGGAGGATTGGTGTTGCTGCTTTGAATGTTTGATAAACTCCCCAGTGGAGCTGTCTGAACCAGGGCCTTTGCTGAAAGTTGATTACTACTTCAGTTTCACCAGTAGTTATTTGCTTATTCAGGTTTTCTGATTTTTCCTGATTTGTGTCTTGGAAGATTGTATTTTTCTAGGAACATGTCCATTTCATATAGGTTGTCCAATTTGTTGGAATAGAGTTGTTCATAGTTTTTGTTGATTTTTTTTTTTTATATAATCCTTTGTGTTTCTGAGGGGTTGGTTATTACTTCATCTCTTTCAATTCTGATTTTGATTATTTGGATCTTCTCTTTGTTTTTTTCTCTGCCTATACTACTCGGTTTTTATATACTTTTTGTCTGATGCCCCCACCCTACTGGACTCCCAACAACCCTTTCACTTTTGTCTTGAATTTTGTAACATCATAAGAATAAGATCTTCCCACACTTACAGGATCTGATTACATCTACAGACTCTTTTTCTACAAGAAGTTCTCTTACAACCCTGTGGTCACTTTTCAGTTTGGATGGGTGGTTCTCAGGCCTGCTATACAGATGTCATCCTGGGACTTACCTTCATGGCTTTTCTGAGTTAGTTCCACTGTTCATAGAGCCAACCTGTTCCAATTTCTTGAATAATTTCCTTGTTTTCTCAAGTAACATCCTAAAAAAAAGAGTATTTGGGAGACAAAGCTTTCTCAGTTTAATTTCCTTTTTCATTGTGCCCTGTATTTTATCAATCGCTTTGCTCGGTACAGAACCTCAAGTTCAGTGATTTCCCCGTGGAACTTCCTGGGCGTTATTTATCTCCTAATATCCAGTCCTGGTGAGGAGCCAATTGCCAGCCGATTCCCATTCCTTGGTGGAGGATCTATATTTGATCTCTGGAAGCTTTCAGAATCTTCTCTTTATTCTTGCCATCCTTAAAGTTCATGATATGCCTATACGTAGACTTGTTTCTTTTTCCTGCTCAGAACTCAGGTCTTATACAATTACTAGAGGCCTGGTGCATGAAATTTGTACACAGGTAGGGTCCCTAGGCCTGGCCAGTGATCAGGGCTGATTGAGGGGTAACTGGCAGAATGATGGGGGAGAGGGGCCCTGCTGGCACCCGCCTTGGTTGGCCTGGGGCCTGCGAGCTAGGGGCAGCTCCTGTGTTGAGCGTCTGCCCCCTGGTGGTCAGTGAGCATCATAGCAACTAGTCATTCTGCTGTTGGGTTGATTTGCATATTAGGCAAATATTTTATTATACTTGTGTCCCTTTAGTTCTAAAATTTTTCTTGTAGGTTTCATTCAATCATTTTCTCTATTTTCATTTTCTGGCACTTCTTTTCTATGTTGAAACCTCCATCGATTCTATAGGACTGACCCTGTCATATATTTTTTGTTTCTTGACTATTATTCTCTCCTTTTCTCTTGTAGTTATGCAACTAGAGCTTCCCAGTGGTCTTTGCAGGCAAGGAGACAGAGAAATGAGTGGCAACTGTTAGGGAGTCTTCTTCTTTCCTCAGCTGCTTTGGCCAGGCTAACAACCAAATTAGCCTGAGACAGATTGGCAAGCAGATAAATTAACATTTCATAACATATACACCTCCTGTATACATGGGAGAGACGGAGAAACACTGAGTAAGTCACCAAATGGTGGAAGTTGTCACCCTAAATACCACCTTCAACTGTGGGTATTTAGAAGAAGCTGGGGGGAGTCGGGTGTGGGGCTAGCAGGAAAAGCACAGTGAACAGGTCAAGTTGTTAGGGATGAAGTCCCCACTTCTCCACTGAGAGACGCAGGCCAGGGACCCAAGCCCTTGCAGAAGTACATGTGCTTTTCTAATTTTAATTAGAGTGAGAGAAAGGGAGAAGGGAAGAGAGAAAAACATCGATGTGAGAGCAGAACATCACTGCTTTTACATGTGTCCCATGTGCCCCACTGGGAATCAAACTGGCAACCTTTTGGTGCAGAGTCTCAACAGCCAGGGATGTTTACTTATTCTTTAATCCTCATCTGAGGATAGGTTTTGGTTGATTTGAGAGAGAAACATACACCTGCTGCCTCCCTTAGGAGCTCCAACCTGGGGTGAAACCAGCAACCCTTTTATTTTTAACTTAAAAAATTTTTAAATGTACCTTTATTTATTTACTTTTTTTTTTTTTTAGAGAGGGAGAGGGAGATAGAAACAATGAGAGAGAAACATTTATTGGCTACCTCCTACACACCCCCTACTGGGGATCAAGCTTGCAACCCTCACATGTGCCCTGACCAGGAATCAAAGGGTGACCTCAAGGTTCATGGATCACTCAACCACTGAACCACACCAGCCAGAACTGCAACTCTTTTTTAAAATTCTCACCTGAGGATATTTTTTCCATTGCTTTTCAGAGAGAGAGTGGAAGGGAAGGAGGGAGAAACATCACCGGTTGCCTCCCAAATGCACCACAACCTGGGGCAAGGAGCTAACCTGCAACCCAGGTTCGTGCCCTAGACTAGGAACCGAACCCGCAACCCTTCGGTGCTCAGCGGACCCTCCACCCACCCACGTTGGCCAGGGCAGACCCGCAACCTTTTGATGCTGCCACCAACCAGAACCCCACCGACTGAGCCACCTGCGGAGCAACATGTGCTTTCCAAGGGTCACTGCTCCTCCGTGCTGTTTCTCCCGCGTCTGCTTTTAAATCAAGCAGCCCAACCCCCTCCCCAAAGAGGCCCCGGGAGGCAAGTGGCTCCCGGGGCCGCCCGCGGCGCCGGGCCGAGGGCTGTGCACGCCTCTCCCGTCTGGCCGCGAGGCTGGGCCCTGGAGGGACCACCAGAGGACAGCCTCCGTCTGCACCCTGCGGGCGCGGCGCCTGGGGTCGGCGTCATCCGGCCCCTGCGCCCTCACACCCCGGACCCGCCCCAACCCGGCCACCAAAGGGCCCCAGCGGCCCGCTCTGCCCCGCCCGTCACCCTGCGACCACCCGAGATCCCCTCCCCGAGTCGCCCCGAGGCCACCCGGCCGGAGCAAACGGGAGGCCCCACCGCCCCAGGTCCGGCGCTCCGCAGGGAGGCGGCGCCCGGCGGTGAATGGGCGGGGGGCGGGGCCTGTCTCCTCTCTGCCCCCGAGGCACCGCCCCAGGCCGGGCCGAGCCAATCGCGGGCCCCGCACCTGCGAGGAGGCCCCGCCCCGCCGTCCGCGGCGTCGGGAGCGTCGGGTCCGCCGCGGGAGCGGAAGCTGCGTCCGACCCCCGGCGCCCAGGCTCGCCGGCCGCTCCGCCGTGGCTTCCGGGCACCGCGACCCCCGACCCTCGACCCTCGACCCCGCCGGGCGGCCCCGCCGGGGAGGCGGCGGCGGCGGGGCCCGCGCTCCATGCCCGTGTGGTGCTGCCGCTGCTCCCTGGCCGGGCATTTCAGGTGACTTCCCGCGGGGGGAGCGGGAGGAGCGGGGCGGGGGGCGGGCGGGGAGCGGGCGGGCGGGCGGGCGGCGCCTCCCCCGCCCCCGCGGCCTCCCCTCTGCTCGCAGCCCCGCAGCCCGGCCTCGGGCACGGGCTCACCCCGCAGGCCGGCCCGGCGCTGCCCAGCTGCAGTTTGCGGGGGGGTCGCGAGCCGCCCCCTCAGGTTTTTTATTTCCTCATGAAACTCCTGGTGAGCCCAGTCCCTGGTGAGGGCGGCAGCAGCTGCGTTTTCGGGGTGCGGTCTGGCCAGGCGGCCCGGGCGCTCCCTGGGGCCCGGGTCCTGGAGACCTGGGGCGGCGGGGCGCTGCGGGCGGGGCCCCCCTCCACGTGCAGCACAGCACCGCCCGCGGAACTTTCCTTTCGCCAAAGGCAGAGCTACAAGCTCATGAAATTGGGCCAGAGGTAGAATGTAAGTTGCCCCTGACCATGGAGGTGAAGAAAGCTTGGTACCACCGAATTTTCGCTGCAATTTAAAAACCGAAATCTTATACTCAGTTATGAATAAAATCAGAGTAATCTGTGTGACTTTGTCACCACTGGAAATCACAACTCCGTTCATAGCACGTCACAGTTGTTGCACATATCTAGGAGGATTGCTTATGCTTATTTCTTCAGAATTAAGAGTACTTTTACGCACCCCATACTGGCCCAAGAGGAGCACCCACGCATTCCTCTGCTGCTGCCTTCACAGGTGTAGCAGTTTTTATGTATTGAAGGCCAGGCCCTCCACCAGCAGCTGTAGTTTATTCCAGTCCTATGAACATCCGAAAGAATGAAATCGGAGTAATTTTAACAAGGACTTGTACCCTTAAAACCACAAAACATCACCGAGAATACCTAAAGAAGGCCTAAGTAAATGAAAAGGAATACTATGTAGGGATTGAAAATCTTAATATACAGGATGGGGCAAAAAGAGGTTTACAGTAAGGTACTCAAAGTTTTATTCTTGTATTATTTATTAGTTATATTATTTACCTTATAAACAACTGTAAACCTATTTTGGCCCCACCCTGTATTTAGATGACCATTTCTCAACTGACCTACAAAGTCAGTGCAATCCTATCAAAATTCTAGCTGAGTTTTTTCCTCCAGAAAAGTATATGGAATTGCACAGTTGAACTCAGCCAAAAATCAAGAGTCCAGACATAAATTCTTATGCTGTGGCCACTTGGTTTTCTATGGGATTGTGAGGCAAAGGGGAAATAACGGTCTTTTCTACAAATGGTGCTAGGACAAATATCCACAAGCAAAATAGTGAAGTTGGACTCCTACCTCACACCATATCCAAAAACTAACTTAAAATGAATGAAAAACCTAAATATAAGAATTAGAAAACTTGTAGAAGAAAGCATTGGAGTAAATTTTTGTGATTTTGGATTAAATATTGGTTTCTTAGATATGACACCAAATGCATAGCAACAAAAGAAAAATAAATTGGACTTGATCAAAATGTAAAACCTTTGTGATTAAAAAGACAACATAAAGAAAGTGAGTAGGCAACACACAGAATGAAAGAAAATATTTGTAAATCATGTATCTGAAAAGGGATATATATAAAGGATTTTTAAAAATATATTTTATTGATTTTTGTACAGAGAGGAAGGGAGAGAGATAGTTAGAAACATCTATGAGAGAGAGTCATCAATCACCTGCCTTTTGCACACCCCCTACTGGGGATGTGCCCGCAACCAAGATACATGCCTTTGACTGGAATCGAACCCCGGACCCTTCCGTCCCCAAGCCGACGCTCTATCCATTGAGCCAAACCAGTTTCGGCTATAAAGGATTTTTTAACCTCAACAATAAAAAAAGAACCCAATTTGAAAGTGGGCAAAGAATTTTACTTTCTCCAAAGAAGATATATAAATGCCTAATAAGCACATGAGAAGATGTTGAGCATGTCAGAATGCTAAGACTAGTTTCTAGGAAGGCAGTTGGGAAAGAAGGTAGATTAGAAATCAGCATTAAGATCTTTCCATATTTCAGTATCTTTTTGAGAAAAAAAATGTATAAACCTAATTTACCAAAGCACATAATATAAGTACAGTAACTTTTCCTTAAAATATTAGGTGTGATTATTTTGTTTTAAATATATTGCCTTTAATGTACTTTCTATTAATGAAAGAAAAGTAAAAAAAAGAAACTACCTACTCGTACATGTTCTCAGAAAATTAAAAATCTCGACATAATCCTGTGTCTTTGGTCATTTTAAAGATAGCTTCTTATTTGGGACTTGTCTTATGTAGGACTTTCCTATAAAGAGACAGTAGCAGCTATTTAGGATTTCTGACATTCAAAATGGTGTAGATTGACATGTAGCTAAGCTACTGATTTGAAAACATTAATCGGAAGGATTTTTTCCTTTTATGGAACTATGGAATTTTTTTGGTGCCTAAATAAAATCTGAATAGATTTTCATAAAGGCTATACTAACTATTTATCTCTTGTTTTTGTTTCATGTTTGTTTTTAAAAAGAAACTATGGTGACACTGAAACCGAAGGAGAGATTTATAATTCCTTAGTTCAATATTTTGGTGATAATTTGGGGCGAAAAGTTAAAGCGATGCCCTTAGTTGAAGAAACTTCTTTACTTGAAGATTCATCAGTGACTTTGCCTGTGGTAGTAATAGGTAAGTTTCTGCATTATATCTCTTAAGGTTAGTGGTGATCCTTACTACTTTTACACATTTACAGTTACATAGTTATATAAGTTCTTGGGATTTTATTAAAAAGTATTGTTAGGTTTAATATCTTAAAACAACCAATAACCAAATCTTTGAAGAGATTTACATGGTTTACCTAATTGAGATCCTGTAGTAGAATGCAGACAGCATCCATTCATTAAGGATTACTCTGTTATTTTAAAACTAGTAGCCCTACGCACGAATCTGAGTGTGAGTAGCTCCCTGCTGCTTACCTCAGCTGGGCACCCTGCCCACTGCTGCTGGTAGCTTCCACTGCTTGTAGCTTGCTACCCCACCTTCCTATAGCTCTCTACCGCTTGTAGGTGGGTGGTGATGTTACAGTGTCTTGGCTAATTTATATATTCCTCTATTACTATATTAGACTAGAAGTTCAGTGCACAAATTCATGCACAGGCCGGGTCCAGCTGGCCCAGGGGAGGGGCTGAAGGCAGTTGGCCATCAGCCCCGCCTCCTGGTTGAACTCCTGGTAGAACTCTCAGTTGAAGGGACAGTTTGCATATTAGCCTTTTATTATATAGGATACTATTAGTTGTGATTTTATGCCACTGTCCTGGTAATGAAGACAACCTATATTTTGTTTCAAAGTCAGTGAAGAGAAAAGCCCTCTCCTCTGACCAGTATGTGGGACACTCAGTGAAGGAAGGAAGGACGGACGGACGGACTAGAGTTCTATACAGAGTCCCCTCTAAGCAGAGGATAAAGGCGTTTCTGCACCGTTTCTCACCCAGGATATTCTTTAAGACTGTACCTCGTGTAGCATTTTCCAACTTAACACCCACTCTGATTTCCATCCTTGATATCTTGGGAATCAAAAAACCCTGACTTTTTGTTTGAGCTTGGCTATAGGAAAGTCAAGAAAAACCACCTGCTTCTGTACCTCACCACCTCACTCCGCACAAACAATCTTTCTGTTTGGCCTCAGCCAATGAGTGTAGCTTAACCTAATGTGTTATTCTTGGCAGTAGCACCACCAGCCTGAGCGAATTTCCTTAATGTATGTATTGGTTTTCTATTGTATGGATGTTTCACAATTTGTTTACCTATTCACTAATTGAATGACATCTTGATTGCTTCCAATTTTTGACAATTATGAGTAAAGTTGCTATAAACATGAAGATTTTTGCATGACCATTAAGTTTTCAATTCATTTTGGTAAAACCCAAGGAATGCAATTGCTGGATCACCTGGTAAGACTATGCTTAGTTTTTTAAAATTCATTACCAAAACCCAGGTCATCTAGATTTTCTCCTGTTATCTCCTATAAGTTTCATTATTTTGCATCTTATATTTACATCTGTGATCTGTTTCGAGTCCATTGTGCCCCAGGCCAGCAGCCAGGGAAGGGAGGCCCCATCGACAGCCATCGGCCCCGATCAGCTCCGATTGCTGGACAGGTCTGGGGACTGCCCCATGCACGAATTCTGTGCACTGGGCCTCTTGTGAGGTTACTATCCAGATTTATACATTGATGTGTGGATGTACATTTGTTCTAGCACCATTTATTGAAAAGACCTACCACCATTGCCTTTGCTTTCTTATCAAAAATAAGTTGTGTATCCTTGTGAAGTTCTCT